GCTAATGGTATGCACCGCTTAAAGTTAGCTGTCATTGGCAAGTCTTTGCGCCCACGAGTGCTAAAGGATTGTATTCGCCAGTTGCCAGTTTCTACTACCTTTCCAAGAATGCATGGTTTTATCGTGAGGTCTTCAATGACTGTTTTTTAAGCACTTCATCCCTGATGTACTCAAATACCAAGAAGAGGTTATGATGCTGGATTCTGAAGATGTCAAAGCAATTCTGTTGGTTGATAATGTGCCAGCTCACCCTAGTGCTGAGAAACTGGTCAGCAGTGATGGTAAAACTTGTGCCCTGTTTCTGTCTCCCAACACTATGTCCAGTATTCAGCCTATGGACCATGCAAGAGGCTGTACCAGAGGAAGTACCTGGATGAAGTGCTGGTAGTGCTGGAAAACAAAGATGATGTTGTAAATGATACAAGAGGGCAATGTACCTTAACCAACATCAAGAAATACAATTTGAAATCAGCCATATTTAACTTTGCTGCTTCGTGGAAGGACATCAAGATATCCGCCTTAGCTAACAGCTGGAAGAAACTTCTGCTTGATACTGAGCCTGAATTCGTCTTTGAGGGATTTGCGGTAATGGATTTTCATCAAATGTTACACCTTGGTGTAGAAAACAATATAACCATGGAGGATGTGGAGACATGGTTGGATGAGAATGAGGGTGATCCAGGTTACCAGATGCTTTTGGCTGAGGAGATTGCCGATGCTGTCCGTGCTGTTGACACAGAGGACGACGACGCGGAGAACAATGATGAAGAGTAGTCGTGTGTGAAGATGCCTACAGTTAAGTTGTCTGTTGTACAAGAGTCAGTCGACAACATCTTAACTTATATTGAGTGCACGTCCGGTTCTCAAATCCACAACTATAATGAACACTTTTGGACTTTTAGAGAACTTATTATAAGGGAGCAGTACAATGCAGGGAAGTAACTTAAGCTGGACCCTTTCTTCATGCCTGTTACTTCTGCCCCCTCCTGCCTCCCAGCCAAGCCAAACTGAGGAGCATCCCTGCTCCTCTGACTCAGAATAATAAGTTGTTCTCAGTCCCCACCATATGATCACGGCAACACAAACTCATCTATCCACTGCATGGAGTAAGTGAAACTACATTAGTACTGTATTTTTGGTGTTTCTTATATAATTCATTATTCGCCGGGAGATACGGACAATCGGCTTTTTCGGACAGGTGGTCCCCCCTTTTAGTCAGGATCTTCAAGGGTTCTCTGTATATATACAGGAGGTCCCTGGGCTACGTACAGCCAACTGAAGAATATCTGTCAATATTAACGAGGTTTCATAAGTTCAACTTTTAATTTAGATTTTTTACTATTTTTTATTAGCCCACCTTTCTACATTAGACAACACGATATGCTTCCAATATCTTCCCAGTTGGTAGTACCTCCCTGTTTGATAGTTACCTACTACCATTATATACCTGATGACTTATTTTTTTTACTTTCATATACTTCTATTTTGTCATTATGTTTTTTCCTTTCTCTTAAATTTAGTGAGTTTAGATGTAAAACCTCGATAAATTGGACTTCAATATATTAGATTTTTTTTTAGGTTGGGGGGTGGCGCTCTGGGGTGCTCTGAATGGCTCCTCTATTCACAAGAAAAAAAAATGGGACAATCCTGCATCAGTACAGATGGTTTGTGTAATCGTACATGCAGTTGAACGTTTGTGTGTGGGTGTTGTTTGGCACGTGCCTCACTGTCTCAGACTCTCTCAGTCTCAGTGCGAGTCCTGCCTTCATATGTATAGCATCAGTGTGCCTCACCGTGCTACCTACACTCATTTATATGAACTTTAACTGAGATACTGGAGGGTTTTAAGAAATGTGTTAAAGTTATGTTCTGTACTGTATTTTAAGTCTTATAAGATACACTATTTTGTCTGAAAAATGGCTAAAAAAAATTTACCTTCATCCTATATGTTAAGTTGCGGTCTCCCATAGCCTAATAAATCCCCCAGTTGCTGTTTCCAGTTGACTAAATTCTACCTAACCCAACTCCAGAATTAAAAAAAGATATTGTTTACCTAAACACATTATTATTATATTTAATTAATTAAAAAATTATTGTTGTAAATATAAAAGCTGTATTTGTAACTACTGTACTGTACTGATGATGATAACTCGAGATGATTAGCATCTATACGGCAGACACCCAACTCTTCAGAGCTAAGCAGTAACCATTTCTGAACTCTTACAAGCATTGCTATGTACTGATGTTTTACCTGTAACATTTATCTTTGAAATCTACAAATACCTGATACAAATGAAGATTTACAAGCAACTTTCTTTTCACTTTTGCGTCTGTTAACATCACTGGCGGCATTGTAGCCAGGGTAATTGCATCACTGTAACCACCAGGCTACTGGGCCAAGATGTGAGGTTTTATGGTTGTTTTTAAACTCATATTTTAGGATAGATATATGTAACTTTCTTCATTTATTTTTCCTCAGTTACATGCACACACCATCCTACATACATATCATGAAAGTAAATTAAAAGAAATAATAGTCATAAGGGCAAACACATAAAGGGAATGTACATTTCTTTGCACATGAGTTAGCTGGCTCAGTGGGAGAGCGGGAGGAGGGCGCAGAGTGGGAAGAAAGCGTTGCTAGAGAGTCAGCGGAGGTAGCGTCCCTCCTGGTCTGAGTTGCTGTGGCGAAGCAGGGAGTGTATGCAAATGGCGATTGTTAATCTTTCAATTGGCTTTTATTTACTGGTTTTTGCTGCATTGTATAAAAATGTTGTTTGAAGTAGCACCATAAATAACATAAGCAGGGTAGGTAATTTGGTTTATAATTGCTGGGAAAGGAGGTACGGAGAGTTGAGAGTTTGCTTCAGCGTTTTGACACACCATGTCGGCCGTTACTTTACGTCGGGGATAATATTCCTTACTTTTTTCTTATATATCTGTACTTATAATAGTATTGTATTTGTGATAGTAAAACAAGACTCATCACTATGGCCACATGCCCTTAGCTTTCCCCCTACCACTTCAGGCCAAGCTGTGAGCTATGTTATGATATTTTTTCATCTCCTAATTTTGGGTACATGCACTTTTTGTTTTATACATACAGGCATAACCCGATACCCGATGCATAAAGGGACCGGGAAAAGTCATTGGTTAGTGAATCAATGGTTATTAAAGCAATTCATTCCATAAAAACATAACAAATTCAGGAGGATAGGGACTGGTCACACTTCCAAAACTCCCATCTACCCTTGATATATCTCTGTACTGTACACTGTCAAGCAAGACAATAAAGCAACATATAATGCAAGCATAATAAACCTTAAATAAGCAATGTAAAGCTTAAATTTTCCCTGTTATTTACCTGTGTTGAGGATGGTAGAGACTGTTTAGGAAAACAGTTCAAGTCTCTATCACTCTTTGCTGGTCCGTCACCACTCTTATTATGCCTTATCACATCACATCAAGCTGTCCAGCACAAGAGGAACTATCACTAGGGTGTTAGGCATGATTGATTAGCACACTAAGTCAAAAATAAAGAAAAACACAAATTCAGAGACTCATAGTAAGTGTAAACAAGAGCAAAGATGGCAGGAATGAGTCAGAGGCAGTCCATACAGCCTTCAGGTGGCAAGAATTTGTACCACGCCAGCACTACTAATCATCGGATCTCTAGGGTATCAATGAAACTTGTAGGGTATTTCCCCTATATGTAAATTGTCGGTAATGCGAATCTGTGGTCAACGGAACATAGGTTATCGGGGTTCACCTGTACAGAATGTACAACAGAAATAAGATAAATAATTATCATAAGGTCAAAAACATAAAATAAATAAACTTTCTAAGTGTTTTAAAAGGAGGGAGTATTGTAAGGTATCTCAGCTGTTATGAGCCATCATCCATGTGTAGTGAAACTACAGTACAGTATGTTCCAGATGCAGTGTTGTACGTTGATGCCATAACTTTAACGCCGTCAATGGACGGCGGAAACTTTTTGTTAACGCTGACGCCATCAATTTTTTGGGGCAGGTGACGCAGTCAACTTTTTACCCAAGCGGAGCGTCAAGCATCAATTTGTTGGTCAACTTCTAAACAATTATATTTTTCCAAGTTCGATTTTCAATTACAGTATCTTGTTATAAAGACGAGAAGTCCATGCACGAGACTGAGAACAGCAGCAGCAGTGAGGGAGACGACAAAGACCATGACGTGGAGGACAAATTGTTCCAGGCACTGCACGAGACCCCCTGCAGGAATGAAAATGACAGTGACCTTTTCAAGTGTTTACTGGGGGAGAAACCTTCGAAAAAAACTTTCGACAAGGACACCTTCCCCAACAAGGCCATGAGGGAGTTGTTCATCAAATACAACACCCCCATCCCCTCTAGTGCTGCCGTGGAGTGCATGTTCTCCATGGGCAAGGACGTCTTGAGGCCCAAGTGCAGCAGAATGAGCGACAAACATTTTGAGATGCTAGTATTCTTGCGAGGGGAGCAAATGAATAATTAAAATGATATAATATAAATCATAAAAAAATATTAAAAATGAATGAACATTTTTTTATTTTGCATATGTTACTCCCATACACAGGAGAATACGCGTTTTGGGGCTGCATTTGTACATCACTGAAAACTCGTTGACGCTAGGTGTTGACGCTGATGGCGTCAATTTATGAAATCGTTTATGCCGATCCTGACGGCATCAAATTTCTCGACCATTTACGCTGACGCTGTCACTTTTTTCGTTGACGCGCACAACACTGTCCAGATGATACTTTTTTCCTTCAAGATATATATACATAATGGGTTTTGCAATAGTTTTCCCTTCCACAACATGGCTCCAAATATCTACAGTACTGTATCTATGTGCCTTAACCCTGTCACTGTGTAAAATGTAACATCAACAATCGTTAGCACATTTATCTACAATAATATTGAGAATGATATACTCCCCATCATTTAGACAAAATAAAGGTTGTAAAATTGTATATAATTTAACAGGTCCACAGTGGGCAATATCAGTGATCCTGTTACTGGAATTTGCACTTGTTAGTGGCCATGATTGGTGGGACTTGCTGGTGTCTACCCCACCTACATCTGTCCCCACTCTAACTGAAAAACTCTCTGAGACATTCCACCAACATTCTGCCCCCATCATCCAGCATCTGCACACAAGATTCCTCGTTATGAAAACTTCTATGTTGAGGTAAGCTTTAATCACCTGTTAACTGGTTCTTAAAATATGTGACATCATAATTATTTCATCAGGTCCAAAATTATTAGGCTCTTTGTCCCAACACTTACACATAATTCAAGTTTTATGGCTGTCAGGGACAGTTTTAGAAGAACTTATGTTGACATTCTGCAATTTCCTTGGTGGTTTAAACAATAGAATGCTTTACAGCAGGGGTGTCAAACTCAGTTGCCAAGGCTGGCCAGATTTGATATGAGTACACAGTATGCGGGCCAAGTAACATAATTATGAGCACTTCGCAATCACCTCTTAGGTGAGTAGTACGACAAAATAAGAAAGGTGGATTTAGTCTGCGCTCGTGCGAAACCCTTAAAAACAAACAAATCAAGTGTTTACTTACCTTGATTAATCTTATTGTTTGCTGCTGCTGCTTCCTGATAATTGGCACCTCTTGATATGGACCAGTGCATCAAAGTTTGGCACTAACGACTGAGCTGTAGCAACCTTCAGTATTGAATTAAGGTGCACATCAGTAAGTTGAGACCAAAGCCGAATTTCTGAAGATTCGGACAAAAAATTTGGGGTTCTGGGCTAACAAGCCTCCCTAAGAAGCATTCCCAAAACAGGATGTAGGTAGTTTTAGGCTTAAAGTTTTTATCTTATAAAATGTCACAGACTAAACTTAGCAGAACATAACTTGCATTGCTGGAATCCTTGGAAGATAGTGAATAATTTGAGTATAGCCAATACATATTTTGCACAAGAGATAAAAATTTTAGTTCTTTAGTGTAGTACAGTAAAGCCTCGAATAACGACGGTAATGTGTCCTCCAATACTGCAGTGTAAGGTGAATCATAGTATCATGAATCATTAATTACCATTAAAATAAAGCAATAATAATGAGATGCGTTCCCAAGTATGACCTTTTCATATCTTTTGTGTGGCTTTTTATCCTCTTTTCCCCCAAAAACAATACAATTAATGAAAAATGCAAACTATATTCTTTAAATAATGTTTCTGAATGCTCCTTATACAATAAAAATGAATAATAATAATAATAATATGGTCACACAAGAGGAGATGGGATGCCTTTGTTTTCATTAGCGTTTACAGCCGGGAGTCCGGGACTATAGTTCTACACGAGAAATTGAAGAAAATAAGACCCTGGTTGTAGCTGTAGTAAAATTAATGTAAAAAAAATTAATATATATATGTTTTAAGTAATGTTATTTAATGTTAATAAATGGAGCAATAGAAGTAGCTAACCACTAATGGCAAAGAAAAAAAAATGAGATGGATGGGGAACACCAACATATACGTGCACATTTAAAGATACTGCATCATTTATCTTTTTAAGAAATGTACAAAAGATCATTATTGTTTATTACTGAATATGTATTTGATTGAATTAGTCTTTATATATGTGAACTGAACAATACAATTCATTAATAATAAGTAGAATATTAAAACACACAAGAGGATAAGAGATGGCATTGTTGTTGGTGTTTACACCCATAATGTCAGTTCTCTACCTGAAACTGAAGAAAATTAAGACCACTAATAGAAAAGAAATAGGTAAAGCAAGACAATTGGGAACGCCAACGTATGGACAGTAAGTGCGTACATGTGAAAACATATCGTCATTTCTCTACATGTGAATTTGAAAGCAACACTTATTTACTGTTCATATACTGTATGTTTTAAATAATACTTACGAATGTAAAACAAAAATTGTACTCACCAATAGTGGTAAAGTCTAAAACATAAGGCCAGCCAATGAATATTGTGCGAGTTTTTACTCAGATGACAAAGTCATCAGGTTCAACTCTGGCTGAAGCTGTAGGTTCAACTCTGGCTGAAGCTGGAGGTTCAACTGTGGCTGAAGCTGTAGGTTCAACTCTGGCTGAAGCTGTAGGTTCAACTCTGGCTGAAGCTGTAGGTTCAACTCTGGCTGAAGCTGTAGGTTCAACTCTGGCTGAAGCTGTAGGTTCAACTCTGGCTGAAGCTGTAGGTTCAACTCTGGCTGAAGCTGTAGGTTCAACTCTGGCTGAAGCTGTAGGTTCAACTCTGGCTGAAGCTGTAGGTTCAACTCTGGCTGAAGCTGTAGGTTCAACTCTGGCTGAAGCTGTAGGTTCAACTCTGGCTGAAGCTGTAGGTTCAACTCTGGCTGAAGCTGTAGGTTCAACTCTGGCTGAAGCTGTAGGTTCAACTCTGGCTGAAGCTGTAGGTTCAACTCTGGCTGAAGCAATAGGTTTAACTCTGGCTGAAGCTGTAGGTTCAACTCTGGCTGAAGCTGTAGGTTCAACTCTGGCTGAAGCTGTAGGTTCAACTCTGGCTGAAGCTGTAGGTTCAACTCTGGCTGAAGCTGTAGGTTCAACTCTGGCTGGCTGAAGCTGTAGGTTCAACTCTGGCTGAAGCTGTAGGTTCAACTCTGGCTGAAGCTGTAGGTTCAACTCTGGCTGAAGCTGTAGGTTCAACTCTGGCTGAAGCTGTAGGTTCAACTCTGGCTGAAGCTGTAGGTTCAACTCTGGCTGAAGCTGTAGGTTCAACTCTGGCTGAAGCTGTAGGTTCAACTCTGGCTGAAGCTGTAGGTTCAACTCTGGCTGAAGCTGTAGGTTCAACTCTGGTTGAAGCCATGGGGTTCAACTGTGGCTGGGCTTTGTTGGTTCAACTGGCTGAAGCTGTGGGTTCAACTGTGGCTGAAGCTGTAGGTTCAACTGTGGCTGGCTGTAGGTTCAACTCTGGCTGATGCTGTAGAGTTCAACTGTGGCTGAAGCTGTGGGTTCAGCTATGGCTGAAGCTGTGGGTTCAACTCTGGCTGAAGCTGTGGGTTCAACTCTGGCTGAAGCTGTAGGTTCAACTCTGGCTGATGCTGTAGGTTCAACTCTGGCTGAAGCTGTGGGTTCAACTCTGGCTGAAACTGTAGGTTCCTTCTGGCTGATGCAGCAGAGTTCAACTCTGGCTGGGCACTGTAGGTTCAACTGGGGCTGGCTGGCAGAGTTCAACTCAGGCTGGGCTGTGGGTTCAACTGGCTGATGCTGTAGGTTCAACTCTGGCTGATGCTGTAGGTTCAGCTCTGGCTGATGCTGTGGGTTCAGCTCTGGCTGGCTGTGGGTTCAGCCTCTGGCTGAAGCTGTGGGTTCCAGCTCTGGCTGAAGCTGTAGAGTTCAACTCTGGCTGATGCTGTGGGTTCAACTCTGGCTGAAGCTGTAGGTTCCTTTCTGGCTGAAGCTGTGGGTTCAACTGTGGCTGGGCTGTGGGTTCCCAACTCTGGCTGAGGCACAGCAGGTTCAGCTCTGGCTGGCTGTAGGTTCAGCTCTGGCTGAAGCTGTGGGTTCAGCTCTGGCTGAAGCTGTGGGTTCAGCTCTGGCTGAAGCATGGGGTTCAACTCTGGCCTGTTTCAGCAGGTTCAGCTCTGGCTGGGCTGTAGGTTCGCTCTGGCTGGAAGCTGTGGGTTCAGCTGGCTGTGGCTGTGGGTTCAACTCTGGCTGAGCTGGGTTCGCTCTGGCTGGGCTGTGCAGGTTCCTTTCTGGCTGAAGCCAGCAGGTTCAACTCTGGCTGATGCTGTAGGTTCAACTCTGGCTGATGCTGTGGGTTCAACTCTGGCTGAAGCTGTAGGTTCAGCTCTGGCTGAAGCTGTGGGTTCAACTCTGGCTGATGTGGGTTCAACTCTGGCTGATGCTGTAGGTTCAACTCTGGCTGAAGCTGTGGGTTCAACTGTGGCTGAAGCTGTGCAGGTTCAACTCTGGCTGAGAAGCTGTGGGTTCAACCTGGCTGGCCCTGTAGGTTCAGCTCTGGCGTGAAGCTGTGGGTTCAACTCTGGCTGATGCTGTGGGTTCAACTGTGGCTGAAGCTGTGGGTTCAGCTGTGGCTGAAGCTGTTGGTTCAACTCTGGCTGAAGCTGTAGGTTCCTTCTGTAACGACTGTGGGTTCAGCTGGCCGTGAGCTGTGGGGTTCAACTCTGGCTGATGCTGTAGGTTCAGCTGTGGCTGAAGCTGTGGGGTTCCAACTGTGGCTGGCGGGTTAACTCTGGCTGAAGCTGTAGGTTCACTCTGGCTGATGCTGGGTTCAGCTCTGGCTGAAGCTGTAGGTTCAACTCTGGCTGAAGCTGTGGGACCGCTCTGGCTGATGCTGTGGGTTCCGCTCTGGCTGGGCTGTGGGTTCAACTCTGGCTGAAGCTGTAGGTTCAACTCTGGCTGGCTGTAGGTTCAACTCTGTGGCTGATGCTGTAGGTTCAACTCTCGGCTGATGCTGTGGGTTCAGCTCTGGCTGAAGAGCTGTGGGTTCAACTCTGGCTGAAGCTGTGTAGGGTTCAACTCTGGCACAAGCTGTAGGTTCAACTCTGGCTGAAAGCTGTAGGTTCAACTCTGGCTGAAGCTGTAAGTTCAACTCTGGCTGATGCTGTAGGTTCAACTCTGGCTGGCTGGGTTCAACTCTGGCTGACACATGGTTCAACTCTGGCTGGCTTGTAGGTTCAACTCTGGCTGAGCTGTAGGTTCAACTCTGGCTGATGCTGTGGGGTTCAGCTCTGGCTGGGCTGTGGGAACAACTCTGTTGAAGCTGGGTTCAACTCTGGCTGAGCTGTGGGTTCGCTCTGTGGGCTGGGTTCAGCTGGGTTTAAACTCTGGGTTCAACTCTGCTCAGGTTTCAACTCTGGCTGGGCTGGGGTTCAGCTCTGTGGCTGGGCTGTGGGGATTTAACTGTGCAAACTGTAGGTTCAACTCTGGCTGATGCTGTAGGTTCAACTGTGGCGGCTGTAGGTTCCAACTGTGGCTGGCTGTGAGTTCCAGCATGGCTGGCTGTAGAGGTTCAACTTCTTCATGGCTGGCTGTGGGATTTCCTTCTAGCTGATGTTGTGGGTTCAACTGTGGCTGAGCTGTGGGTTCAGCTTTGTGGCTGAAGCTGTGGGATCAGCCTCTGGCTGAGACTGTGGGATTTAACTCTGGCAGCCATGGGTTCCGCTTCTGGCTGGCTGTGGGTTCAACTCCTGGCGGCTGGCAGGTTCACTTCTG